ATGTAATTCTCAAGCAGAATCAGAGTCTAATTAGTGACTTGCCCCCATCCCTAAAATATGTCAGTGGCACTGCCCAAAGTTGTTGGCTTTCACATTTGTTACTTTGTCAACTGATTGAAACATTCTCCCTTCTGAAAAAATAAAATACTATATTGGTGATATAACACACACAAACACGTATTTTTCTTTGCATAAATCTGCTGATACGTTCACTATCTACAAAAGTAGATTCCCTGTGACTGCCTATCCTGTGTAGGAGAGCCGTAGCAAGATTCTCACATTCTTCTACTTTATGCATAAAAGTTACAAGTTCTTTTATTCATTTATGTGAAAAAGGACTGATTATTCATACGACGACATCAAATTCTGTATTAAGGGGCAGAGTCATCTTTTTTTTAGATTCAACTTTCAGGACCTCCTTTAAAACTGGGATAATCCTGTGGCATGTACTAAAATATATGTATTCTCATTTCCCTCTTTTTAAAAATAAAGTCCAGAATGGCTTTGCCTAGACATACTTTTAATACACTATATAGCTAGTCATTGTTTTGATGACATGTAAAGTAAAGCAAGACATCTGAACCTGGAAGCAGTCCCTCTTGCACCGGTATAAACCTGGAGAGTATCCACAGAAGCCCATGGAGCTTCAGTGGTGTAAAAGCAGGCAAATGAAATTAGCATAAGGACCGCCATCCTCCTAACCATCTGTAGCTGCCCTATACCAGCAACACTAACAAACGTCATGCCTTCATCTGGAGGAAAGCGTGCGAACGGCATGTTCGTTAGCAAATTCTGTGAGCTATGCACATACCTGATCACATCACTGAAGACTTCATCATTCATTATGCTAGTGTTACACAGAGATGTAAAATACAGGGAGCTCTTTTGACTTCTGCAGAATTAGAGAAAAAGGAAAAAAATAAAACACAGTATCTTTCCAAACGACAGAGTACATGCAGAGAAGTAAATTAAAGGCAACACAAATACAGCACAAATGCAGCTTTAGAAAAACAAAGTATTTGCCAAGATAGAAAGGACAAAATAGGTAAAGGAACAGATAATAAATTGAGGGCTAATATATACAAAAGGAAAAAAAAAAATCCAAAACCAAACAGCAAAAAAGTGGTTATGTCAATACTTTGACATAAATGCTTTCTAATAGCTCGTGGGAAAAAATGTAAGTAAAGAGTTTGAAAGCCTTGCTGGAATTCTCATATTGTAAAATAACCCTCCCCTCAAAAAATTATAACCAGCAATTTTTCTGATTATATAGAATTCCTACGTGGCTCTGTAATTCAGCAGACTTTGACCATTTTTACCTGTGTAGCACATTTTATTATTCAATGTCTCCCTATACGAAAAAAAATAACCCATCCATATTTAAAAATAGATACTATTTTACTTTAATTTTTTATCTCTTTTTTTTTTTTTTTTAAGGAGAGGAGGGCAGGTAATTTTCCTCTTGTGTTTTGAACAGAACCATAACTATCCAGATTCCTTTGCTTTCCTTTTCAGTATCATGTTTTCTCTCAGCAAGGTTCAGGGATGATGTGCCTGCAGGAACGCAAACACAAACCTATCGTCGAATCACCGGAGGAAACTCGTACCTTCTTTGGGTAGGTCTTATAAAACAGAGTATCTTCATAACAAGGCCACTGAAAGATGATTAATACAGATTTTTCTCTTTTATTTATCTTTTGTCCGTTTTAAATGCAGCAGGCATTCATCAGCGGATTATAACAACTTGAAGGTTACTCAAACATACAGCTTTTTTGCAGGAGATACTTAATCACATGCCTAACCTTATATGAAATACTTTCATTTAAATCAACGTGAAAAAATAATTTGGTTAAAGTTAGACATTCTTTGATAAATCAGGATCTTGGAAAAAAAAGAAGAAACAAAGCCATGGGTTTAAACACACAGGATATGTCATTTGGAATGAATGGATGCGAGCTGTCAATTTTTCTTTTTTTTTTTTAAATTTTATAATTTGAACTGCTCCTGATAAACTTGTTCCCAAATTTTATCATGTGGTGTATCAGTGTTCAGAAAGCAGTCAATTTGAAACAGTAGTCCCTCCAAAGGCTGTTTCCCCCCTCCGAAATATGGTGGATTTTTGTTCTACTGTCTTGTGAGAAATGCTCTTAGGTTTTATTTTCATTAGAAAAGAGACTTCAATAATTCAACCCCTTTGCATTGTTAATATATTAGAATAACATTTGAATATAAGGTGTCGACCTTATTCCGATTTTCAGATGCGACGATTAGAAGTCATTGACACCAATCTACCACAAGTGACCTTAGTCGCGTATCTTGCTCTGTTATTAGAATAATCAAGGAACGCAATTCAGAAATTATATTACATCCTGCATTTTATTCAATTCCATATGACAAAAATAGTAACCTAGACTAAGACATCCATTTCAATCAGTAGATGTGTCAAGCCAACAAGATTTAATAATAAAAAATATTGGATCTAGGTAACAATTCCCAGCTGTTTCAGGGAGGCTCCTAGCCCTACATGGTATCACAGTATAAAAATAGTGTCTCTCTTCACCATGCAGAGAGGAATGACCTAACCCTGAATACAAAGTGGGGTCAGTCTTACTGTACCATCATCAACCATCTTATTTACAACACTTTACATATTTTTTCTTTTTTTCCTTTTTAACTTTTTTCTTCTCTTTTTTTTTTTTTTCTTTCTATTTTTAAGTTATACACATCCTTTAGGGAATAGAGATAACACTACATGGTACCAAATACTAACAAAAAAAAAAGTCACACCAAAAATGACACAGATAAATAAAAACATTCAATTGCTGAAATACAGCAACATTAAGCCACCTCAGTTTTCTTTTTTTCAATGCTTGGAAACACCCCTGACCACTCACACACTGTGGCAAAAAAGATGTTACACTGTAGAGGTGTTACAGATACATAATTTTGCTTATATATAGATATAGGTATCTATATATCCCTATCTCATCACTGTAGAAAATGGAGCTGTAGAGTTCATTGTTCATTTCCGATAGAAACAAACAGCTAGTAAGTCTTCGAACCTCTTTTCACTCCATTACATGATGGCAGAAATAGTCCATCCTCTTACAGTAATGGTTTTTGCTGTATAAGAAAGATTGTCCTATTTTTCAGTCTCAACTGAGAAGACCTCACTGTCTGATTCGTTCTTCAGGGGCATAAAACTCCTTGCGCTGTTACCCAGCTACCCATAATGTCCCTCAAGCAGTTCTGCTGGACGGAAGTTCATAGTGTCAACTCCACCATGCTTGTAATGCACAAAAATGAGGTAGTACACAAAACGTCTACTGTTCAAGTTTTGATTAAGCCCCAGTCTCCTCAGCATCCCCAGTCTAGCTTATGAGTGGAACCTTTCCCTTTATTTACTTAGTGTAATTTAAACAATGCGATTAACATAAAATTGTATTTGATTAATCAGAGTACATTGTGCTTTGGAGCAATCTGAGAAGATAATCAGCAAAAGCTGGAAATAAAAACCAGAGTATTTGTATGTTACTACTGCTCATGCTGCCCAAAAGTTATTATTTTGTTCCCATGTTATTAGGCAGTCAACATCTTTCTTGTGGGTATGTGTGAAAGAGACAGAACAGTTTACAGTAAAATTAAACCTACACAATGTTCTCCTTCCTCTATCCTAGACTTGTATTAATATCACACTCCTAAGATAAATGTATCAGAATTCTGTCGGGGGTGGTCACACTTTTAAGTGGGCTTTGTAGGAAAGTTAAGTGAATCATTTCCATTTAAGAAATGGCAGGCCCCATATTTCCTAAGGATCTGACAGTTCTCTGCAGCTCTTCTGCTTAGTTAATAGAGATCTCTCATTGTTCAACCTTAAAACAAAACAAGAAACTGCACCAGGGTTCTCCTTATTCCTTAAGTCAAAGTACTATTTATAAAATAGTTTACATCTTTGTTCAGTTTCAAATTATAGACAAACCTCCCTAATACAAAATACTAAAAGTGCAATAGTATAAATTAAGAGTTTGCAACCACATTATACAAACATTACCTTTTTTATTGTACAGCTTTGATAACATGGAGTATTTACTCACAACTGTTTATAATGTTGTGAATAATTTATGGTGCTAAGGTTTGTCTGTAACTTGTTTTCCAATCATTGAGCTAAAGTCCACACTACATTTTTTTTTTCATTTAATAGAACAACTGTCCACATAGCAGCTACAAATATTTAAATAAAAAAAGGTTTGTTACTGACAGGTACTTGCACATGAAAAGCATGCTATCTTTCCCAAAAAAACTTCACAATTTTGCCTGCATTGAAATAAACCACTTATTTATAGTAAAAAGAAAACAAACAAACAAACAAAAAAAAGAAAAAAAGAAAAAAAAAAAAAGGAAATATCACATAGCCAGATGTATTTTGCAGTACAAAAGCTTCATTTAAGTTTGGGGCTAGTATATTGTCTGTTACCCGCATAATCTTAACATTATAAATACTACAGACAAGGATACTGTAATAATACACAGCATTGGGGTACTAAATCACTTATTTAAGTTTAAGATTCCTAAAAACATAGTCCAAGTTGCTAACTAATTTGAACAAAACCAGCAAATAAGTGTGACAGAATGCCATAATGAAGCCCCCCTTTCTCAGGTGATAGTAAGTTTTGTAAGAAGCAAAGTAGACGTAGACTAGCCTCTTTCTGTTTCTAATGAAGTTATCCCATGATTTGTTTCTTTTTTTTGTGTTCTGTTAAATTAAAAGGTTTCAAAGTTCTCTGTAACAGTCAAACTCACTGTTGAAAGAAGTACCATGCAGATCTTGCAAGACAACTTTTCAGCAGCCACAAAGTTATGTATTTCTGCTATGGGTAGAACTTTAAAGGGAACCTATGCATTTAGGTCAGGAAACTAATGCTTAGCTTCAAAAGCTGTACATGGAACGGGACAAGTGTTGTGTCAAGTAGCAGTCCAACAGTTATTCAGAATGAATGCTTTTAATTTATGCCAATCTCTTTATTATCCTCAATAAATCTGGTGAATGGACGACTGGCTCCCGTTTCAGAACTTGCTTTGTCCAGACCGACAATGGGAGGGCTGCTGCCCGTGCGAGCTTTGTCCATGCCACCGGTAAGGTTACTTAGAGGCGGGATGGCGCCTCCGCCTAGACTTACTGGGAGCTGGGGAATGCCTCCGTTCTGTATGACAGAAATCTCATTGTTCTTCATAGCAAGTCCGTTAGTGATAGCTGCAGCATATTGGTTCCAAAAATTGGGGTCAACGTTCATGGCCCGAGCTGCCAAATCCTTCTGGAACATCTCAGAGAACTTGAGTGCGTCGCCACCGAGCAGAGCCATGGGGTTTTCCACGGAGAGGCGGCGGCCACGGCGTGCAGGGGCGTTATTCCACATGTGAGTTCCCATGTGAACCTGCGGAGCAAAAGGGGACAAGAAGCACCCCCAAGATAGCACATTCTGGTGAGGTGGCTGGCCTGAAATGCTGTTACTTACAGTACCGCTTGCTTTAAAAAAGAATGCCTTTTAATTCACACTGAAAACAAATCAATTCCAGTTAAGACATAGTTCTAAGGCCCAGTCAACCTACACAAAGAAAACCCAGCTCTGTAGTAATTTTTCAGTGTGCATTTGTTTCTCCTCAGCGAAAATAAACACAGCACTGCAAGAATAGTATCCTCTTAGGTAAGACAATTTCACATGCAAGCTCGAAGTCATCAAATGCTGAAGACTACCAACAGCATTACTTGTAGGAGAAGAGTGGTGTTTTTCTGCCCTTCCCCTTTTTACATCTTGTCTATTTTTGTAGTATTTTCTCCGTTGTCAGAGACATTGATTATTTCTGCTAAATTTAATATTCTAAAGAGGGACATTTAAAAATGTATTCCCCAGGCTGTGTCCTGATAGTTAACCAGACTGTGGGAATATGAGGCATGAGTCCTGTAGTAAACCCCTGCAAATCAGAGGGAAACTGTTTTCTAAGTCTGCAGAGCAGAACAGAAAATGAAAATCTGAAAGGGACCCAAGGAGCTGAGCAAGCTTTACATTTCTGGATTATAGTGAGGTTATTTTGCACTGATGGTCCGCAAGAACCACCAAAACATATCCATCAGCTGACTGCATGTGCCATCATTTCTGTCAGGAGAATTACAACGTGCACGCATGTACACCCAGAACCAGTTTTAAAGTTCACATCATTCCACAGCTGCTTTTCAGTCCCTATCTCCAACGCAGTGGAAGCACAATAAACACCACTATACAGCAAACCTTTCCTTGAAGCTCGCTTCTCTCCTGTCTTTGGGCCAAACACTTAGCACTAAAACCTGTTGAGTTCGAGAACGGTGCCTTAGCCCCCCGCCCCTAGCCTTTACAGTTTTATTTGGCCTCTTACCTTAAGATTCCCCTTTGTGGTAAAAGCTCTACCACAGATTGTGCAACCAAACGGTTTTTCACCAGTATGGGTGCGCTCGTGTATCTGCAGTGCACTCGCTGAGGAGAAGGTCTTCCCGCACGACTGACAGTTGTGCTGCTTGGGAGTCCGGCGAGGGGGGGGTGCCAGCATAGGGGTGATCCCCGGACTCATCACTGTCTGTGGTGCAGCAGGAACCTGGATTCCAGCTGGAAGCGAGGGAACCTCACCCAAAGAGATCGGCTTGCTGTGACCATTCACTTCCATTTTGATCATGGTAGGTGCTGTACTGGTGACCAGGCTAGGAGTACTTTGGCTGGGACCTAGAGTAAAGTTGGGTTCAAATAACTGAGAAGGCAGCTCTTTTAATTTGTGCGTCAGTAAGTGCTGTTTTAAATTACCCATAGTGGAACACCCACGACTGCAGACTGTACAAACAAATGGACGTTCTTTAGTATGGCTGCGGTAGTGAATTTCCAATGCACTCTTACAAGCAAAAGGCTTGCCACAGATATTACAAACAGTACTTTTAAACTTACCACGTTCTCTGTTCAGGAACAGCAGGCTAAAAGGAGCCTCCTCTTTGATGACCGGTCTTCCAGGGTTGGTGGATGTCAGATCTAATGCGCCTCCATTTTCAGTTGCGGGTGGCGGACTGTCTGGTTTTTCTGTCTTTAATTGTATTTCTTGTGGCTCTTCCTGGTTACTGAGACCTGGGGACTTTGATCTGAAACTTTCACTATTGCTATTTACAGGAGACAAAGCTTGCATGGAGGAAGAAGACTCTGACATTGCAGGGCTGCCTGCACTCTGGCTTTCAAGATCACCAACAGCTGATGAGGAGTCATTGCTCAAATGGTCACTTTCTCCTGATCCATTTTCTATGGATTTTAAACTGGTCAGCTGCTGGCAGTTCATAACAGAATCAATCATTTTCATTTGATTCTCCAAAGCAGCAATACTGGAGATCACAGACGGTGGTGAAGAAGGACATGACCCAGAGTAAGAGATAAGGGGTTTGGATGAGTCACTTGCAGTCTCCTTTAGCTCTGGGTCCTCTTCCATAGAATTTTCATCAATGTCATCATCAAAGTTGCTCAGTGTGTCAATGTTCTTCTCATCATAGGAAAGCTCTGAGTCCATGGCATCCTGGAAGCCCTCTGGTAATGGCGTGTTTGGAATTTGCCCGCCCATATGCATACGAATGTGCTGCTGAAGAACAACTGCATTTGTAAATTTCTTCTGACAAATGGGACATGAGTGCTGTACTCTAAGTGGTGGCTTCGCTCGATGAACTCCAAAATGTGTTTTTAGATTGCCTTTCGTAGTAAAGGCACGTCCACAAATTTTGCATTTAAATGGTCTCTCTCCTGTATGTGTTCTGTAATGCATCTTGAGAGCACTCTGACAACTAAGCACACGGTGACAAATGACGCATTGATTTGGATCTGTCATCTTCTTATCAATGTTCTCCACTAGCTGTTGTAGTTTTGAGGTTTCTG